GGGGGGGGCGGCTGCCAGGGACTTGCTGGCTCCTGGCACACGTCTGAGCTGCTCATCTTCCTGAATGTCCGAGAACCACATAACTCCAAGTAGCAGGAGTGTGACAGATTTGGCAGAGCTGCCCGTCTTCCTAGGAAGGACACTCTGGAGTGTGCATACTCTGGCTGGGGAAGGTCCTCGGGATGAGGGAGGCATCACCCAACAGAAGAGAGAACATTTCCAAGAAGAGGAGGAAGCACAAAACTTATTTCTATTAATAACCCTGTCTACGAAAGCCTTAAGAATCAAGATTAAATTTGAAAATTTAGAGATGGGAAAATGTTAACTAATTTCAAGAGAGAATAGAGATGATCAATCCTGTTTCAACCATGCGGCCCTCAAACCCACCTTAGTCTAGCTCTTTGTCAAGTACTGTCCCTGTTTCGTACGTGTGATCCTTGTCTCTGGGGAAAAGTGTGTGACTTAATGAGGATGAGCACGCTGCCCGGTGCTGACAGTATATCCCCACAGGGCCTAGCCGGACACATGCTCGAGAGACACGTGGAAGGAAGCAAAGTCCATTCTTAGGTTGCCAAGCTGTGTCATGTTCGGCGTCGGGACCCTGCCTTTGGGGAACTTAATTTCAGCTGGAGGAATGACACACATACGAAGAACACGTGGACAGGTCTGAACGTGAATCAGCCTGGGTTACCCCGCCCCCCCACCCACCGCCCTCATAAACCAAACCCTCAGCGATTACAGCAAGAGCTCACTCCATGGCACCCACAGTTCAGCTCACTGGACAGGAACGAAAATGTGAATGTGCGGCCTGATCAGGAAGGTTGGTCAGAGGGGAAACAGCCATATTCACCTACTCGGGGTTATCCCTTGTCCTCTGCACAGTATTTGACAAGGTGTCGAGCCGCCTGGCCAGCGAAGTGCAGCCTAGTGAGACGAGGCAGATGTTTGCTGTTTCGAGGGAAGCGTGTGCCTAAACCTCTGGGGATTGGCCTCCCTGCCGTCCTGCTTGGCGGAGGTCATCCTATGGGATGTCACATAGCCAGAGAGTCAGGACATCCTTGCTTGCCATTGAGAAAAATCGCTTAAAGAGGGAAATGTGCATAAAACAACAAGAATGGTAGTTGTTAACATTAGTTGGCTCTGGGGAGTGGCTGGAGGATAGAATCTGGCAGAGGGAGAAAGCTTTTCATAGTACAACTTTCTTTACTCGTTGCATTTTGAACCACGTGAGTATTTCTAACAGTTGCCATGAGGCCATCCAGACTCTGCGCTGGAAACTATCAACATAATTATTTGTCTTCAGGACGCACAGCCACAACACAGTTCTTGAATACTGCAAAGCTCAGGCAAGCATCCGTTTGGAAGATAAATTTTATCTCTGGCCCTTGGAAGTTTCGCTACCGAAATTCTAATACTGGCAGATGGCAACCGACGCTCCGTGCCTATGTGGCATCTGAAACTCTTCGAAGCACTTTTACCTGTTCTTCCTTTCTCTTTGCCTCAAATTTTCCACCGTTCCACCGTGAAGCAGGAGTGATCATGTCACACGCGATCTGTTCAGGCTCAGCCCTTCCCTGGGCGCCCTGGCGAAAATTCTTCCTGTGACTGTAGCAGGTGCGCCTGGCTCTTTTTTCAAAGCCGCCGACATGGGGCTGGTCTCTCTTTGCGCAAAACTCTTGAAGTACTTGGCGACATGGCCCACGTCCCCCTTAGTCTTTTTAAACTTAGGATCCCCAGGATCTTGGCCAGTATGACACGGCTCTGTCATCCGCTCTGCCCTCTGCCCCCGCTCACCCAGTGCCACTTAAAACAAGGCACTTAGACTGAAACTAAGGCTCCAGATGTGGCCTGGCCAGGTGTGGCTGTGCGACCCTCATCTGCCCTCCTGCTGGGTCACCTGCTCCCGGAAGCGCAGCCCGAAACGGCATCAGTTTTCTAACAGCCGCGTCATGTTGATTTGCCACCGACTAAAGCCCTTTTGTCCCTGTTCAAAGTCAAGTCAGATCAAGGATGACACATTGCATGTTGGCCCCTTTTAACCTAAAAACCTGTACCCCAGCTTCCTTCTTCATAACATTCACCTGTCCAAGACACCAAAATAATTGTTTTCTCGAATGCCAGAGACCTCTTTGACTACTAGGCCTCTTCGTGGTGTTAATTTCCTAGGGGGCTATCAAGCAAGGACCGTTTGTGGAATAATTATTAATTTCTATTTTTCATTAATCAAATTCACGATCTAACACTCTTACCATATTGGGTTGATACAAACGCACGGATAAAACCAAAATTGTGATGTTTCGTAGTAGTGTAACTTTGGTCAAGTTACTGAACTTCTGTGAGCCTCGATTCCCTGTGCAACAGAAAGAGGATAAAAATATGTTTCGGTAAGAGCAGCACATACACTAAAAACGGAAGGATAGACTGTTAGCACGGCCCCTGCTCAAGAATGACATGCAGATTCGTGAGCTGTTCCATATTTTTAAAGCTGAGCTCATGTGTAGATTTATTAGATATTATAAAATGTCTCTTCATAAGCGGTTTCTAATTTATATCGCCGCCAGAAATGTATGCAAGTGACTGTTGCCCTCAGCCTCAATGATAATTGCAACCCTTTTCATTCTGTAACTCATTTTAGAAACGAGAATTGGATCTTGATATCATTGAAATCCATTTTTCTCTAATTATGAGATTGTACCTGTTTTCATGTGTAAGGGCCATTTATTCATTTGTGAATTGTCTATTCGGCTTTGAAACCTACTTTGCTATCATGACCCATTCATTTTTAAAGAACAAAATATTTCATTATCCAAAGGACAAAAAAAAAATCGTGTAAGGATTGATACAGGCTCTCGACGTTTCCATCTAGCATCTCTGAGCACACGAGAAAACATTTTCATTCAACAGTTGACGATCATACTTTAACATTTGTCAGACCGATAGGTATGCTGGCTAAGAGGGTGGTCGGGCGAGCATTTTCTTACGTAGTGACACGCCGAACGTAATGTGTCTTTACAATAACGCCACCACATAGGTAGGGTTACTGAGCCCGTCATACAAGTGAGGAGGTCGGATCTCACCAACGTGTTCACTGCACATTAGAAACTGAGCGTAGGTCCTTCTGAGCACGTGGCTGAAACTCCTTCCCTCCCTTACTCTGACTGTGAACAATGAACCTTGTTAGAGTTAAGTTCAAAACAGCAGTTTCCTCTGTGGAATCCTCTACCTTCTGAGGGATAAAACTGGCTGCAAACCAAACAGAACCAAGCCTCATTTCGTTGGGCTTTTCCGGGGAGGGAAATGCAGTGTGCTCGCTCGGGGCTGGGGGATGGGGGGGCCCTCTGTTCTCTCGGCCTGTTCAGCAAGTCAGGGTGATTGGCATGTGTCAGGCCTTTGGAATGGGAGGGCAGGGAGGGGCCAGCAGGGCGCCAGGTGCTGGCAAGGCTTTGGGAGGGGGATGAGGTGGACGGTAGAGGGCAGGAAGGCAGGCTGGACCCAAGAGCGTGGCAAAGACAGTGAACAGGCCTTACACCAGGCAGGCCCGGCGTCTGGAGCCCTAACACAGCGGAGGCTGCAGCGGTGGGGAGCTGGAGGAACGCCCTTGGAAGTGTCAAGGGCCGGAGTTCGCATCTGGCAAGTCCGGTTAATCTGCGCATAAAACTCAGTGTCCGAACAAGGTTCGAGGGGCTGCCCGTGAGAGGGGGCCTGGCCAGAGCGAAGCCAGAGTCTCAGTGGGGCCACAGCGTCATCTACTGAGGGAGCGGACTTAGGAATTACTCTCAATTGAGAAGTATTTTGCGTATTTATATTTAAAATAAAACATTCTTGTTGTGTAACTAATGGAAAATGAAAGTAAATCTAAGCAGTCTTTTTAGCTGGATGTACAGAAACTGGACTCTGGCTAGAAACTGTTAGCCATCTTTTGCATATTGGTGATTTTCAAGGGTGTCGTGAGATTTTTATGTTAAACAGAAGAGGACTCAGTTTCAGTGTTGAGAAAGCTTTGGAAAGCAGACGTAAACAAGGGGCCCCGATCTGGGGACAGGCTGCAATCACCCCGAAGGCGATGAGTCAGCTCCGTGTCTCTCTCTATTCGCTTTAATTCATTTCAAAAAGCGTCCACTGAAAACCTAAGCTACAGGCATTGTGCCCTGTGCGGCGGATACAGCAGTGAACTATAACTTTTCTGCCCTTGAGAAGCTTGTGTTCTAATTGGGCAGCAGAGGTCGTCTGACAGGTAATCGCGGTCAACCGTTAGAAGTGCTTTAAGAGAGGCTTGCGCAGGTGGCAAGTGGGGTCTCTGACCTGGGGCAGGTGTGGGAGGGCAGAGGTGGCTTCCTAGAATTGTCCCTAAGCTAATTTTAAAGAGCATGTGGCACCGTGTCTAGTGCACAGGGCAGCCTCTGAAAGGTGATGAACCGTCGTGGTCCAAGCTAGGTACTCAGGCCGGCCCAGAACCCTCATCTGTCACACCAAGACAGTACTGCAGACCTACCTCATGGGGTCGCTGTGAGGATTAAACAAAGTAATTATGTGTTGTGCCTTAGCCCGTAGCCTTCGTTAAAAACTTAATTAATTTTAAATGCAGCAGCGACCCGATGGATTCGTCATTGTTTGAAGGGCTGCTTCTGCGCTCGGAAGTTCCCTTCCCAGACGTGTCTAAGCTTTTTGATTTCTTCACGTGTAGAATATCGTACAAGAGTCAACAGGGGTGATTTGTTAAGGAGATGACAGCTAAGTGAGGGACGTGGCAGGACTGGCTTCAAAAGGGGTTAATGTTTAACAAGAAGCTATCTCAACCCAACACGTTTGCTCTCATCCATTCATTCATTCATTCATACTTTCGATCTTTGAATTCCTGTTATGTAGTAGGCACTGTGCTTTACGGAAACCTTACAAAGATGATTTATACGTAATACTTTTCTGTAGGAACTCAGTCTAATGAGAGAATCAGACATGCAGACAAAACATTACACCACCATAGGATCCATATGACCATAACGGCACATGCAAAGTACCAGTTATGACATCATTTGGCTGTGCAATACGCAGTAGCCACGCTGGAGGAGAGCATGACCAGATCTGGCAGCCGAGTTGGAAGGCGGGAGGCCCAGCTGGAAAGAGAGGCAAGTTGGAGCTGTTGCAGTCATCCGGGCGAGACTGGTGACTCGTGATGGTTTCCAGCTGAGAACGCATCAGGCTCTGCGAGGGGAGATCTGGACTGGAGCGCCGGGGGACTTTCGAAGAAGGAGGAGAGACTGAGGATGTCACGTTGGTCCATGCTCCTCTGTCTCCTTTGTTCCGTAACCAAAGGAGGTTACGAAATGTAGGACTTTAACAATAAGAGCCCTTTCTCCCTGGCCGGAGTGCTGCGGGGCCACCCGCGGATGAGAGGTAAACCAGGTGGCCTTTCCGGCACCTTCAGCTTTATGACGTTCTAGATCTGGACACTGAAAAACTCATTCGTCATTCAGCGGACGTTTACACAGTGCCTGCCAAGTGCCAGCGAAGAGTCAATTGATGGAAACTCAATTCATACCTTAAGACAAAAATGAAAGTGCACTTGAGGGGTCCTGGGTTTTCTCCCACGGCAGATGGGCAGGGATGCAGCAGGCCCCAGGGAGCCCTGGAGCCTGGGACCTATGGGCGGGGAGTCTTTCTTTATCTTTTCCCTTCTTCCTGGGTGTTGTCTGTTTCCACGTAGTGGGAAACCTGGCCGTGGGCATCTTCTAAGCTTTCTGGCTTATAGCTTTTGGCCACTGGAGTTCCAACGCCCAAACTCCAGGACAAGGCACCTTAGCCCAGCTTGCAAAGTTACCTTATCATCATGCGGTCAATTATGACGCTAGGGTGGGATTAGATGAGAGCTCTGTATAGACGAAGTCGTGGGGAGAGACGGAGAGACACAGTTTTCAAAGGAAGCGGGTGAGGCTGAGCTGGCAATGCCGTGGACACTCGTGGTGGCCCTGTGTGGGACACTGGTATGAGAAAGGTGACTAAACCCTTACACCCATAAAACCAGGGTGCCGTCGGCTGTCGCACTGCACAAAAATGCTGTCGATGGCACCCTCGGAACGTCTGAGCGAGGTGCTGCTTTGGGAGCAGCCAAGACTGGCCTCGCTCCCGGAGGAGGCTGCTCCGTTTCCTTTGGACAAAGCACGTCCTGTCTCTCCAGTTCAGAAGGTTGACCTGTCACTTGGACTTAGTGATGACTGCGGAGGTGAAGGCAATGGCTGAGAAACTGGTTTGTCCACTCTTGGGAGTCTGAGAAAGAGGCCAGTATGACACTCTTGGGGCGTCGATGGAGAGAGAGAGGCAGACGAGGGAGGGAGAGAGCAGAAGCCTGTCGTTCCTGGAGCCATTGTCAAATTAACCCGACTTCACTCCCTCGCAGGCCTCCGTGTCGTCCTCCGTCCAGGAATGAAGACAATCTCTCCTGCAAACCCCGCGAGGGTGATGCCTTCGGATCCGGGTCACTCTGACCACAGACTGCCCCTTTTGCTCGGCGGCCCTGTCTGCTCAGCATTTCTGCAGAGCGGTGCCTCACTGGAGAGGGGTTATGAAACCCGATGAGCTATTCATGCCCTCGCTGTGTTTCTATGACAACCGATCCCCAAGCACTCCAGTTGGGCCCTTACAACTGACACCTTCCCTAGGAGGAATTTGTGTGTTTGGGGAGGGATGGAGCTGGCTTATGGTCACAGAGCTGGCTTTTCAGAGGTTCTCCAAGGCGCTGACATCTCTTTTGGGATATTTCTGTTTTCAATGCTCAGAGTAATAGTTATTTTTTCCAGATGACTCACAATCAAAATTCTGTGATTTTTCTTTTGGAAAATGGCCACAGCCCAGTAACTCCTATGGGGAAGGGAGAAATTTTTCTCTACCCTTCTAGGTTTTTGTTGGCTGGTCTAATGATTACATCGTCATGAAACAGATTAATAAGAGAAAATAACTAAATTTAATTACACATGTATGTGTGGGAGCCCCACATACATGAGAGTCAGAGGCAGAAAGGTAAAATGAGGTACATGTGACTTTCTGAGCTAACGGTGAGGCGTGGCCCCTGGGGCTTCAGAGAGGAGGCAGATCGTTGCAGGGCAGTATGACGAGCAGATACGTTCAGTAATTATATGCTCACCCTACCACATAGATAGGTGGCTAAAGTTATGCCTGGTAATAACTCTTATTATGGGAAGACCCCTAAGTTAAGGGAGGGGCAGCAGTTTCTCCCGAGCCCACTTGCCTTCAGCTCAAAATAATCCACGTGTCCAAGTAGCCCTTCTTGGGGAGGCCTGTTCTGAACCCCTCGACCCCTGAATAGGCCTATAGCAACAACACAGGCTAGAATGTGCCTAGTCATCTGTTAGTCAAATGGGAAAGTAGGAGGGAGACATGAGTTGGTGAAAACTGGCCCAGCCGGATGGCCCACGTCAAGAGCCCGCTCTCCTCTCTGTGGACTAGAGAGGCTGTCCAGACTGGAGCAT